GATCCAAAAAGAGGCGATTCATCGTACCCTTTTAGGCAATTTTAGTTTGACAGCTGAGTTTTCCTACCTTTCCTAGTACTACGTTCGAAAACTATGAACGAAGTTAAAGAGCAACGAAGTACCAAGTCGAGTAGATCTAGGTAGTACAAAAAAAAACGCCTACTCCCTTCTCGAGGTCGCCGATAAAATATAACATTTAGCCGGCAGTAGATACCGCCATATGGCTGAATAATTATATAACATTTAAAATATAAAAATTATTTATATTACAAAAAGCAGGTAACATTTGCAATGTTACACTGTATTCCAGTGGTCTTAGAGTAAAATTGAACTGCTTATAGAAACTTCAAATAAATCTTTCAATAAAAAAAACACTGTGGAGCAAAAATCAACAACAATCAAAAAATATAATTTTTGTTCGGTAAAATTTGAATTACTTGAAAATAATCAAACTTTCGAATAATGTTTCGAACTTTTATTAGAACTTTCCGAAATCCGAAGGCCAAGAGCTCTTTGTGTTCGACAAAAGTTTGTTTACTAATAGCATAATATATTGCAGGAATATAAGATTCATTATTTCAAAAAAAAAAAAAATAATATAAGGAATTTTACAAAAGAAATTTTCTCATTTATTACTAATGAAAGCCGAAAATATTTCCTGGTTTTCTGCCAAGACACATATCGAGAAAATCGTCGCTATTATACCCCAATAAATTTGTAGGTCACCCGAAGTCTTTTTACTGCTATTAAAGTTCGATTTTTCAAGGAAAATATAAGCCTCTGGTAAACTTTAACGAATTTATCCCGAGTTCAGTTTGTAGGAAATAATAATAATTGGAAATACGCCTTGAATGTATTCCTACAAATATAGAATAAAAGTTTCTTTAGAAAAATCTCAAAATAACAAAATTCGGTAAATAAAATAGAAAAATCTACAATAGATTTTCCTTGAGAGCATTTTCCTCGTGCTAACAACCAAATTTACTAGTCACTTTTCCTGGTGTGCAACAACTTGTTTCGACGTCGTTCGCGACTAAACTTATATCCGCGAGAGAAACACAATTTTCAACTGGAAAATACCTGAAAAATAAAATGGAAAATTCTCGGGCCAATTTTAAAATACGTGTCACAGGTGACACCCCTTATAAACAATGTTGACAAAACTTGGTCCTTATTAAAATCCCAGAAAAGTTAAAAGCGCTTTAATATTCGGCCAGAGGGTGCGCCAAGAAAAAAAGAATATATTCCAGCCAATTTTGCATAATACTGTGTACTTATATGAAAGAAAATTTCAATCTGCAGGTGAATGGAAGAATAAATTTTAAGAAGTTTATTAGACATTTGAGAAAAGTTGAGTCTTGGAACGCGTTTTTGCTTTTATGACTGTTTGAGGAAAAGTTTTAAGAAGTTTTATGAAAAAAAAAAAAAATAAGTAGAGAAGAAAATGCATTAAACTTTTTTGTCTGCAGACATTATTGGAAATAAGAATTATTATTTTTGAAGGTTTTCGGAAAAATGTTAGAGGTAGGTAGGTTTATTTAGGTTTCACGGAAATTACCTCATGCTTACGACTAATCAGCATCAGTTCGGAGGCTTCTAGGTCAGTAAATGTTTGTGCACAACTCCACTAAATTGACTGAGAAACTATATAATTGCAGATCCTAGCAGCATATTAATTATGAATTCAACTGGCAAATGAAATACAATAATTGAAGTTTGTAGTTTGTGACGACATCGTAAAAGATTCTTGCGTACGCCAATGAATTCTGTCCGTCTACGCATACCGAACAAAGGTCTTCGTGATCCCCGCGGCGAGATTAATTGCCGGTGAACAATAATTGCGATTGCCCCGCTAATGGATTCCGAGCTGACGAAATAAACGACGGAGCCGGACCTGGAAAAGTGATGCGCTCATTGCGTGGGACGTCACGATCGTTTAGAGGCCTCTTCGAAGATGCATTTAGCGGCCCATCCATATGGGTGCACCCGAAGAAGTTCGTTTAGGGTAAAGGACCTCGTAAAATACGTTTTTCGACAGTTTGAAAATGCAAATTTTGATTTTTTTAAACGGTTCTAGTAGGTAACTATGTTTCAGGCTCTTCAGTTAATAGAGTATATTATGTTACAAGTGTGAAATAGACAAAAATAGATACAAGTTGAAAGATTCGCTATGATTTGAAGGGGTCTTGTATTGCAATGTTTAATCAAATCAGGTAGGTCTAGCATTCTTATGAAATTGTCATCGTGTTTTTATTCTTGTATAGGTATTGTACAGGGTCTTTCCTTATATTTTGACCCCTACCTACATCTTTAGCTATACGAGGTGGAAAAAAACTTTAAATATGAAAGTTGTAGGGTTTTATGTCTATTATCTTTTGCGAATGTCAAAACGGGCAAATGACATGTGCGAACTGTCAAAATGACAAAAACTTGCATTTTTAAAATGGAACACCTTGTATACCATATATGTTGATATGTGGTTCAGTTGTTTTTGCACTATCTAATTTTAAAATTGCATTGAGCAAGCTTCATCATTGATATAAGAAACCAATACAGATTAAATTAATGCATTTTTGAACTTGAATAGCGTAAAAACAGCTGAACCAAATTCAACATATTATGGTATAGGTATTTGAAATCAGAAGAAAAAAATCTATCATTCTAGCCAAAAATATACAGGGTGTTCCATTTGAAAGATGCAAGTGTTTATCATTGTGACAGTTGGCACCTGTCATTTACCCATTTTGACATTCGCGAAAGATAATAGACATAAAACCCTTCAACTTTCATCTTTAACCCAGCATTACACGCGCCAAAAAACTTACGTCATTACACGCGTTCGGTCAAATCGACCGACTGCCCAAAAGTTGCAGCATGACCTACGCAGGTTTACTAATCAATAGAGACATGAAACTTTCAAATATTACCTGCGTAAGTCATGCCTTAGCGTTCAGGATACGTTTGGGACCATCTCCGCGAAAAAAGTCTACAAGCACTATAATTCCTAGAATTCATAATTGCAGTACAGTTACCGTATTATCGATAGCCAAAAGTACTCCCAATATCAGGAAATGCCAATTTTGCACAGAAATATTTTAGATACTCAGGTTCACGCGCCTAGTCAAAAGCACCGACTATGAAAACAACGAACTATACTTCAACCAAAAACCAAAATATTTTTGGGCCAATGGGTAGTGGAAAACCTGCATCAGGCATCCCTGGATGGACAAAACTCTCACCCTTGTACCAGTGGCGTTATTACTGATTTTATCAATGGTCGGTCCTTTTGACCGGCACACATGTACTCCCGGGTTAAAGTTTGTTTCCACCTCGTATAGCTAAAGCTGTAGGTAGGGTAAGGAAACACCCTGTACACTATACTTAATGAGATGTTTCATCCGCGAAGCAAATACAAGGTCGAAGGGTACTTGAAAGAAAGGAAAACTTCCAAAGATTCGAATTTACTGAATTAACTCTTTCTCATCAGCCATCATCAGGCCTATGCTTAACTATGGAACTATTTTCTGGGGGTCATAAAGCCCAACAGACCACTATTAGCCGAAAACTAGACCAAGTTCAACGCTTGACATGACTCAACCTAACTGTTGGAATGAAAACCACACCAACTAGAGCTTTGGAAGTAATTCTATGTTTAATGCACTTCATCCCGATCAAAGAAAACATTGTGTAGGTACTTACCTTATGATTTAGATTTTAGAAAACTTTAAAAAATCATTACTTTTTTTCTATTATAGATAGAAAGCTGAAATTTTCAGCGATTCTTATCTTAGTGGAGGACTATACAATCCCTGAGAATTTCAGGTCATTTGGATTTATAGTTTCAGAAATAAAATTGCGATATGCAAATTTGGGTAAAGTTATCAATTTTCAATTTTTCTGAGTGCCTTTTTCATAGATTTCGGCTTCAAATCTCAGAATAATTTAGTGTATGGAGTTTGGGGGATCCCGAATGCTTTCCCAAATGATCATTTAGACACAAAATCGATATTTCATCATTTGAGTAGGTTCCTACTAAGATAGCGCCCTTATGATTTAGATTTTAGAACATTTTAAAAAAATCATAACTTTTTTCTATCATAGATAAAAAGTTGGAATTTCCAGCGATTCTTATCTCAGTAGAGGACTATAATCCCTGAAAATTTGTGCTCATTTGGACTTCAAATCTCAGAATAATTTTAGTGTATGGAGTTTGGGAGACCCCGAATGATCATTTAGACACAAAATCTCAACATAAAAAAAATCGAAATTTCATCATTATAATATAGGGAAATTAATAAAATAATGGATGTGGGGCATCAAAATTCATGACGTTAGCATGTGGCAATGTTGCCGCATCAACTTCGTTTTATTTTGACATACCATGTCTAGTGAAGTTTATCATTTTCTAGGTTATTTTTTTATTAATAAATTGATAAGAATCAGCAATACCAAGAAAAAACGAAATTCCATTAATACAATTTTATAGCAAGTTGTAGCAGTTATCGAAGGGAACTCCAACACTATGCACTATACACTACAATAAATTCAGAACAGGAGTCTGAGCACCTTACCAATAACAATATAAAAAAAAGCTTTGTTTTGGTTTGAAGAAAGGACGGTTCAAAACAATCGCACAGTTTATCAATCAACAAAATGACAATGACCCAGCTATCAAAAATTCCAATAAGAAACTGTGCGATTATTATAGACTGTTCTAGAACTGTCGATTTTTCAAATCAAAACAGAGTTAAGATCCACTCCAATTCCGACAGAATATTTCAAAAATCTACGAAATATTCATGACTTGAATTAGAGTACCTACACAAAATGCATGCCTATATGAACTTTGAAGGTGATTCTTTCATTAGTGTATTTTTCATTCTAAGGAAGTTCAGTTGCTGCTGGAACAAAATTGCTAATAAACCATGGGTTGGAGTTTCCCACATTCAGCTGATGATATTTAGTTACCATTAGTAGTACCTACCTGTACCTATTTGCTAGAAACAGTATATATTCCACATACATCTATATTGTAGATGCGACATGATAAAATGTTGCCAATAAAGTGAAAAATACAAAATTTCAATTAGTCAAAATGTATTTTAGAAAACCTAACAAAAAAACAGTCAAAGGTCTATTCGCTATTTTATAAAAACAGCATGCGGCGTCAAAAAAAAAACTAAAAAAAATCCTAGTGTTCCATTGGTTCGGGATGGGCTGCGTTGTATTCTAAACTCTTCTGGATGGGTAATGGTATTTCGGGTACTACTGGCAAGTCAGCACTTTGAGGTTGGAATCCATTTTCGTCAGCAACATAGGTCAAATCGTGTTTGTTTCCTTCTTTGTCGGTGTAGGAAATTGAGCCATGTATGGTTTGAACTACTTCTTCTCCGACTTGCTTGATAGTACCGGTCTGTTCGACTTTGGTTCCGTCGGCAGTTTCGTAGTTGGACTGGAAGCTACCGTCAGGTAAAATGTCGGAAGTTTGGGCTAAAATGGCAACTGGTTCGTCGACTGGAGCACAGAGACTGATAGCCAAAAGGCCGGAGAAGATTATTACTTTAGCGAACATTTTGAATTGTGTGATTTGGTAACACTGATACTGATAGGAAGGTTGTGATAAGTTTTTATACAGATTTTTTTGGAGGTTCCCCACTCTTGAGTATTAATTCTTTTCTTATTAGATGTCCAATTAGCACATATATTAATTTGATCTTTCAGATTCTAGGAGGTCCTTGAATTTTATTGTTTGGCATACGAATGGTATTATTATATCATAGTAATTAAATGGTTTTCTTGATTTTAAATATCTGCAATATTTTTGCTAAAAATTGTAAGAATTTTTGTGAGCTGTTACTTAAACATTCTTTGAAGCCTTCAACTATCCACAGCGACTTCTGACATTTAGGATTTATTGACTTAGGGTCTTTTCATCCAATAAAACAAATTATAAGTGAATGAGTGAAGCCGAAGCTCAGAAATAGAGTTATGACTTTTTTCCAGTTCAACATCAAAAATATAATTCGATTATTATTCAAAGGTGAGAATAATTATTGAAAATAAAAAACCAAATACCCACGACCCAACCCAACCAAGAACTAATAATTACGTAAAATGCGTATAAATATCAAAAGTTTAATTACAATTTTGTTTTAGATAGGTAATAATAATTGTCAACTTTCAGCCGAGAAGCTTCTTGAGATTTTTGAAAAAAACAATTATTACGAAACCATTAAGTAGGTACCTATTTAAAAACTTATAAAATTGCATTAACAGATTATTTAATAACATATAATATATGATGATGACCAAAATTGAGATCCAAAAATAGACACCAGAAGTGAACAAACAACCAAAATAGGTAATTTAAATTCCTATCAAGTTTTCGACAAAATATTACTGGGTGATTAGAATGCGAAAAAAAAAAGGATGGCAAGTTTTATTATAAAAACCACGTTTACCTTTTGGTTTCAATCAATCGATTACTAGAAAACAAATTCAAAATATTTGTATTTTTTGCACTTTTTACTACATTTGCTTCAATTGATTGCGCCTCAGTACCACCAATTGCTTCAAGTACCAGCGTACCTGTAGCAATATTGAGCAATACTTACTGTTAATTTAACTGCTGAAGGAAACTATAATTGGAGGTTAGTACTTTATAAGTTATAAGATGTGTTTTTTAAATGTTTATTTTTTTCAGTTTCGAAGCAGCAGATGGTACCAAAGCGGAACAAGTAGCCTCAGATAAGACCGTTGATGAAGAAAAAGTAGAAGATATCCAAGGATCTTACAGCTATGTCGATCCAGATGGTAACACTCACTTTGTAGAATATATTGCTAACGAACATAGATTTTTCCTTAAAGGGGACGATATTCATCCAGAAATTGCCAGCCATTAAAAGTTTTGTCGACGCCGTAGTGTCCTGCAAGTGGAGAATCATGGAACTCATGGAGTATAGACCCTACTCGACCTTGAGGAACAACTAATTGAGCTTCGTCAGAATCGGAGTCACTGACGTACCTAACGGTGTAAAATCCCCTGAACCATAAGGTAGCCTCGATTGATCCATCTGGCAAAGTCGACAGTATCAGAATCAGCATTCTCGAAACAGTCGATAATACTCCTAGTGTATGGATCATCTAACTGCTGGGTTCTGGTCTCTGCAGCCGATTTATTAGGTAGCAAAATAGTAACTGTGTCGACAGCTATAATTAGTGACTGGTCATTATTATTTGAGTCGATGGGTGGTCTTGATAATGTATCTGCGACGAAATTCGTACGGCCTGATATGTAGTCAATCTTGAGGTCGAAATCTTGCAGTTGAAGTGCCCACCGGGCCAATCTACCAGTTGGTGATTTTAATGCCATAAGTCATCGGAGAAGTTGATGATCAGTTTTGACATAAACTTCTATGTATCCGCGAAAGTTGTTTACTCCGTAGACAAGTGCAAGGGCTTCCCGATCAGTACAGAAATAGTTCTTCTCGGCCACAGAGAGTAAACGACTGGCGTACTCTACCGGTCTTTCGTCGAGTCCCTCCCCCTGGAGCAAACATGCACCAATAGCATAGGCAGTGGCATCAGTCTTAATAATGTATGGCTTAGAAGGATTGGCTTGACGCAGAATAGGTGCAGTAGTCAGGAGAACTTTGAGCTTCTCGAACGATTCTTGTTGTGCCGAATCCCACGGCCACGAAACATTCTTTCTTGTCAAGTTACTTAGCGGTCTGGAGACATTGGCAAAGTTTGGAATAAATCTATGGAACCATGAACAAGTCTGAAGAAAACTGAGAACTTGTTTCACGTTCTTGGGTGCGGCAAGATGGGTGATAGCGGCAACCTTTTCCGGATCGGCTTTGATACCATCTCGTCCAATAAGATGACCAACGTATTTAACTTCTGAAGTACAGAAAGTGCATTTCTTCTTGTTCACATTCACCTTGTGAATGCGTAGACGATTGAAAACATCACTTAAGTCCTTGATGTGTTGTTCAAAGGACGTGGATAAAATTATGAGTCATCAAGGTATCCTAACATCTGGATATGCGGCAAACCTGAACAAAAACGGTTAATTAGCTTTTGAAACATTGCTGGAGCTATGGATATACCAAAAGGCATAGTCTTATATCGATAAAGTCCAAATGGCGTGACAAAGGCGGTGTTCTCACGATCTTCTTCTCTGACAGGTACCTGATGATAACCACTTTTCAGGTCTTAGATGGTTATGTAGTTAGCTTTTCCAGTTGAATGGATGAGCTCATCTATACGAGGCAACGGGTAACGAACATTTTTGGTCACAGCATTCAGTCGGCGATAATCAATACAAAGACGTGAAGTTCCGTCTTTCTTCGGTACAAGGACGACTGGAAATGCGTATGGCGATTCGCGATCTTCAATGATATCGCTGGCAAAAAGTTTGTCAAGCTCCTGACGCAAAACTTCCTTCGCAGGATATAAGCGATATGGTGGTGCAGCTATGGGAATATCATCAGTGAGAATGATGATATGCTCAGCGTATGGGCTAATTCCTGTATTTTCATCGAACAAGTCCTTGTTATGTTCCAACAGCGATGTCAATGTCCCTTCTTCAATATTGGAAAGACTCGGTAACAACAAATCATTGCCGTCAACAATAGACAAAACTGTGTTGGAATCAATAACTTCATCCTGTAATGGCAAGGAATTGCTTGGATCATCATTGAAATAGTATATCTTCTTAGGTATATTGAGCACACTATATCGAATTGTGATGTGAAATCAACACCAAGTAAAGTCTTACTATCTTTGTAGTCTGGAACAGCAATCATTTGCAGTTTTCGTTGTCTATTCATAACTTCGATGGAACACTGGTACATCTTTGCTTCAACTTCTCGGGGTATACCATCAGCAAATACCAGTTTTATTGGAGCAGTTTTGAATGGATGCCGAATAGCATCTAAGTGGCTTAACATCTTTGAACCTGCAATACTGCATTTTGCTCCGGAATCCACAAAAGTAAAACCTGATTTACTTTGAATGATGACAGGTATCATGGGTCTTAAAGACGGACCTTCAAACGTTGACAATAAAATGGTAGGTTTACCGAGATCAGCAGCGAGCATTTCGACAGATGAAATGGTTGTTGGTGCATCAGTTTACATTGAGGGCAATTGGAATGAATATATCCTGGATTACCGCAACCATAGCATGTTACATTTGTGGAGGATGGGTTCCTGGATCGGACTGTTGTGGACGAGGCTTTCTCAGCAGATTTGGCTTTAAATTTTCTGCAAACAGCTTGAACATGTCTATATACTTTGCAAAATGCACACTGGTCCTTGGACATTTCTGCAACGGACGTGGAAGTCACTTTCACGTTGGTTTCAGCAAGGCTGGATTCGATTGCTCTGCATTTGTCCATCATCTCTGAAAAGTTCTGGAAACTATGTCTAGAAAGTTTTTTCCTGATTCTATGGTGAAGGAGTCCATAAACCATTTCTAACTTGTGCTCCTCTGGCAAGGGCGTGATTGTTGTCAACTTTGAAAGCAGTGCACGGGCTTGATTCACGAAAAGATCCGTTGGTTCCATACTGCCTCGTTCTCGAGAAAACAGCTCTCCATAAATCTGATGTGCTGGTTTGTTAAAGCCAAAAGCATGACGTAGCACATCTAAAACTTCAGACCATGAGATGTTTTGCTTTTTGGTGCCTTGCAGCAGCGCCATCTAGTAGCATGGGTAAACCTTTTACAGCGTTCTCGTCACTGATGTTCAGACAGTCTTTGTAAATAGTGATGACATCAATAAAAGCTTCAGTATCTCCGTCTGGCTTTCCGAAAAACCTTGAGCCGCATTTGGAAAAATTGGCAGCTGTACTTTGGTTCGAAGTAGATTGTGGCGTATTCTGAAACATATCTCTCATACCAGCGAGTAATGTTTGTAATTGTTCATTGGTCAGAACAACAGGGTCATCCATTTCGTCTTGATTTCTTTGGGACGATCGAAGATTATAAGGCATCAACAGGAAAATCCAGCTTGGAGTATGCTAAGCGATGGAAATGTAGTGTTGAGAAACAGCAAACTCGGGTAAATCATCCTGACAAACAGGCGACTGTAATGTGGGTACAAAATGCAGGACAAACATGGACACACAGGAAACTGTGATGTCGGCACAAAAATGGAAGACAAACTTGGACACACAGGAAACTATAATAGGTTTGTTCGGATTTAGTTCAGAATCAGTTCTGAACTAAGTCGGAACAAACCTATTGTCGGTTTGTGTGGAATATTCCAGAAATTATGGGAACAATATTTGAATGTGGCAAAACTTACACAATTCAGTCAATAAATGCACATTTACACCGATAATGTCTCGCGTTTTATAGTTCATTGATCTACAGTCACAAAATTAGTCCAGAAAGTCATTGAGGTGGTGGTTCACTACAAAACCCCAGGCCTCACGTTGGGCGCCAAACATGTAGCGGGTATCGAAGGGAACTCCAACACTATGCACTACGCATTGTTTTTTATTGTTTTTTTTATTTAACAATTTCACTGGAAAAAATACAACAAAAATACAACAAAAATACAAC